ATCAACAGGAAGCGATAAATGAACATATAAAATTATAGAATATATAAATCCTGCCATCTACAGCTTTCTCATCTCATTCATGCTTTTTTTTGTCATTATGCTCTGTTTTTCAGGATTCCTCTTCCTCAACTCCTAAACCAGGTATCGAGATCTTGCCATTTTGAATCAAAGTAGCAGTTTGATGTCCTTTGCTCACACATATATGTATTTTCTGTCCCACAGAGCTCACCCAGTGCCAGAAGGAGGCTTCTGGGGAGGTCAAGAGTCTCCTGCCATCCTTCCGCCCCAGGTGTGATGAGAATGGAGACTATCTGGCCCAGCAGTGCTGGGACAAGACTGACTGGTGCTGGTGTGTGGACAAGAACGGCGTTGAGATTCATGATTCCCTGACTAACACCAGTGATACTAAGTGTCAGGGCTTCAATTCCGGTATGAGCTGAATATCTGTGTTGCCATGGGAGCTGAATTATTCTGTGGCATACATGACCTACTCACATTAATTATATTAATATCTTCAAAAAGAAATAAAATACAGTTTTCCTTTTATGTGTCACATAATTTAAAGCAACTGTATGTACGTTTTTTTTAAATATCCGTTTCAAAACCATTCTGATGGTACAGTGACTGGCTTCTGTTTCTTTCCCACATTCCTCAAACGTTTTTTTTTCTGTAAATATGTAAGTTTGGAGAGCAGGTACGAAATTCTGCAAAAAAGGGCAGGTTTCTTTACAGCAGCAACAAATACATGTGAAATGCTATTCACAATTACGACAGCATATTCACTTGCATATTGTTTTCATTTAGCAGTTTCATATTTAAAATGTAGTCAGTGGTGTTATGTGATATGTAACTCTAATATAAATCATTCTTCGCTGTTCCTTATTTTAGCTGATAAAGTGGTGTTGGAGCCTCTGGTTGGGACAGATGGCCAGTGAAAAGGAGCAGCGTGGAGCAGTTAAAGCATAAATGTCATTTTCTGGCATCTTTACCTTTAACACTTGTACTTTCACATTTACTTTAGATTTATGGTTTGGTTTGAGGTAAACGTCTTCATTCAGTCTATTAAGATATTTTGCTGTCACAATCTAAAAGTTAATTGTTTTGTATTGTACTGGTAATTATTACAGACTATATTAGATTAACTTCAGCTGTGTTGACCTTTTATGAAAAGCTTTGACTTGATGGCAAACTAACTTTTTTAACTAACCTTTAATGTTCTTTTATTGTGAGTATAAAATGGATTAAGAGAGCTAAGTAATATATAGAAGGATAGCTGAAATTGGATGATGGATAGCTAACAAAGATGGACAATAAAATTAATTACTAACTACTTGTGTGCTCTGTGTCTGATTTAGACAAATTCCTGTAACTTTAAGTTGTATGGCAAAGTCTAAAGGCTGATGTTTTTTTGCATGGCCCCAAAGATGCTTTGCAAATATTTTAGGATTTTAAAATTTACCTTTGTAATTAAGGCTAGAACACGCATAGAGATATTACAAAAATAATGGACCTTTATGTACAACTGAAAAGAGATAACAAACCAGCAGAGCTGTGGGAAAGAGCATAAAGTGCGAAAGACACTAACCAAATACAGTCTGAGTGATCACTGTCTGGCTATAGAGAGAAGAGATGGCAGCCGCCAGAGCAGAGACCGTGTTCACTGTGCTCTCAGAGAGCTGTGGAAACTGAAGAACACTTCCTGCTGCACTGTGATCACTATCAGAACATTCCATCTACTTCCCAAAATTTCACCTAATTTTATGGCTCTACCAAATCCAGAAAAATTAAGACATACATCGGGAGAAAACTCCAGCTTGATCACAGCATCAAAAGCTGTAACAGCTTGCCACAAACTAAGAGAGTCAGCCAGCGGACAAAACTAAAGTCTGAAATATTATCACATTCTTAATGTCTCAGAATGTTTTTTTTTACCAAAGACGCTTTAATATGCTATGCATTTTATTAGACAGGTGACGACCGCACAGATTAGCATTAAAACAGAACGTTCAAATGTATCTAGTATGATAAAACAGCGCTGCTTACTTCCGCTGCTTTCCGGAAGGAGCGGAAGCGGTCGACTGTGGCATAATAAAAGCTCCGCTGCTTTCGAGCCGTGTGTCGTGCTCGTTCAGCGGCCTCGTTTCGCTTCGACGGCTTTCAGCCTCACCCTGCTTCATTCTACTACGTTAATAAATCATTAGCTCATCCATGAACATGATTTCTGCCCGAGTCCCGTCGGATTGCATCGGCTGTGGGGATGAAGACGACAACTCCCATGATTCCACACTCAGTCACGGCGTCATCTAACTACGCCTTTTTCTTTTGAATATGCACCCTCTAGTGGCGAAAACTTACATATTGTGCCTTTAAAATCCATGAACAAAAACCAACCAGCTGTGAGGTGAATCACAACATTACAAAAATATTGATTTGGATCACAAAAGTATTTGGAAATCAAACGAAAAAACAGGTGTAAGAATGTATACTTGTAAACTGTAAACAGCTCATGTCCATTTAAGTAGTGCAAATGATACAATGAAATAAAAAAATACATAAATATAAAAATGTATATATGGTTGCTAGCTATGTCTATAGAGACGATATATTTAGCTTTTTTTTTTTGTCAAATATGTATATACAAATTTAGTTTTGGGAGCATAGGGAGATTGTCCTTCATAGTACTTCAAGGGTGTGGGTGAGTTCTGAAATGATTTTGCTTGATTTGCTTGTCGGGATTTTTTGATTGGATGTTTTTTGTGCAGAATCATGGGTAATGTGGTTTATCCTCAGGAGTTCCACTGTTAAACCTTTGATCCCCCTATGGAGAAAATAAATGGAATTTTTACTTCTGGACCTACTGTTGAACTACATTCACTAATAATTCATATCTAATTCAACGTGGCTATTAGATGGATTTTATCAGGTCTTACGTCGATGACTTTTGCATATGAGACGCATAACTTGTAGTTTCCACGTTTTAACATTTAATTTTAGAAAGAACAAAAAATTGGCTGTCAACAACTAAACTTTTCGTTTCTGAAGAACTGCTACATAGCATGCAAGTTGTACTGGCAGTTTTATTTCTTGGAGTAATTTAATTTTAAATAGTGCCCATGATTTTCTTAAATGCATTTCTGTTTCATGAAAAAAAAAAAAAAAAAAAGACGTCATATTTGGGCGAACAAATTCTTTTCAGGTGATGTTTGTCATTTTACATTCGGATGGTGATCATCTTCTGAATGAGTTTTCCTTCCTCTTGATCTTCAGAGAAACAATCTGCCGTGTTACTGGTGGGATGAAGGTGAAGGCCGACAGAGACGAGTCCTCTCCTTATGCTGCTATGTTGGCGGCTCAGGATGTGGCTCAGAGGTGCAAGGAGCTGGGCATCACCGCTCTGCACATCAAGCTGAGGGCCACTGGTGGAAACAGGTGTGAGGCCCTGAATGCATAACACATTTACAGACAAGAGCTCAAATATAATGTTCATGACACTGGGTATGAGTTTATGAGAAGAACGTATGAGCTTGCATCATGATTTACTTGCTCTTCCCCCCCACCTTAAGAACCAAGACACCTGGACCAGGGGCACAGTCTGCGCTCAGGGCTCTGGCTCGTTCTGGCATGAAGATTGGCCGTATCGGTATGTTAGCACTAGCACTGCCATCTAATGATGCCTGATGTCTGTTCAGTGTAAACTTGTTTTATGAGGAAGTCTCATTCACTTTCATTTTCTTCTACAGAGGACGTCACCCCCATTCCATCGGACAGCACCCGCAGAAAGGGAGGTCGACGTGGACGTCGTCTGTAAACTATTGGATTTTTCTCCGAATAAAACGTCAAATGATACTTTTGCCTCCTGTCTTCATTGCAATGATTTCTTATGATAGCAGTGCCAAAAGCTTAGGTTCTCGACTGTTCAGCTGCCTTTAAGCTGATTACACGTCTAACCGGTTTGATGTATCTGATGTGTTTTAGTTTATTTTAAAACCAAATGAATGAATGCTAGGGGAATACCAAGAAAACATCCTCATTCAGATTATACCAGAACAGTTAATTTCCTCATTGAAGTATTTCACCCTGTGCAGACACTGAAGACACTCGCAATTCTAGCTGGTTATTGACAAGTTGTGTAGAAGTTTAAAAGAAAAATGGCAAAACCTAAACTATATTTGAAGTAAACCGATTTAATATCTGGTTACTTTTCTCATTTATGGTTCTATAAACTAGAATTTCATAAGCTGTTATTCACTTTTTTTGGAGCATTTTATTTCATGTTGGGCAAGATAAGTGAAAGTGAAAGCACTGCACTTCATAAGGATAGTTCGCCCCAAAATTAAAAAATTCTGTTTACTCTTCATGTTACCTGTATGAGTTTATTTTTTCTGTTGAACAGATATTTCAAAAATGTTTTTAAACAAACAGCCATTGACTTCCATAGTAGCTTTTTCAATGGCTACCATCAACTGTTTGGTTACCAATATGTTTCTAGAATATCTATTTTTGTGAACGTCAAAGAAATTAATGCAGGTTTGGAAAAAAAAAGAGTAAAGGATGACAGAATCTTCATTTTTGGGTGAACTATTCCTTTAATATGCGTTTTTAGTATTAGGGAAACAACCACGACGCATTCTGTTATTTTTACTGAGGGAAAAAAAGCTAGATATTACAAATTTTCAGCAAGTATTTCAATATTCCTGCAAAGGTTACCACGGTAACAGGCCGCTCGAGCTCTTGTTACGTTGACAACAACACGCAAGTACTGCCATTGTTTATCACTTTGTTGCGCATGTATATTTGAGAAGTATATTACAAAAGGTCTTGTTTAAAAGCATTTTAGATTTTTGAAAGACAAATCTCACAAAACCTATTTCTACCCACTGAATCATTTGCACACTGACAAGATTTATTAACAGGTGAAACGTAGAAACGGTGCATTCCAGTTCACTTTTGTCTGACAACTGATGATGCAGTCCGTCATAACCAATGAAATAATAAACTCGCTCTGCTCCAGACACTTTCATCCGAGTGTCGCTGCTGGACTCTTCAGTTCTCATATTTTCATATTAGATCGCTGTTACAAAAACCCCTTGAGCAAATTGACTAAATTTTGAGACGTTTTTTCTGACTATCGATCAGAAATGTCCACCGACGGAAACGATGCACCACTTATCAGAGCTCCAAGTGAGCAAACTTCAATCAACATGGGAACTCGCGGAAGGTGAGGAAACATCGTTTTTTAAATTGGTTTTATAGATAAATCTTATTTATTTTTCCCCCACTTGTATATGTTAAATGCAGGTAAACGGAAAGTGATTGAGTGTAAAGAGCTGTTTTGTGTGAGTTCTTCAATAATTAGGCAGAAAAATGTGTAATATGTGACTTATAATATATCACTATATATTTAGTCATCACTGTCAGTGTTTCATTTCAAAACTAAACTAAACTAATACATTTTAATGAAAAATTATGTATTGTATATGTGTTATGTGTTCTGAAATATGTTTTGTGCAAACTGTGTATATTCTTCCATTTTAAATGATCACACATCACCTTACATACCTGATTAATAATTCAGTACAGATTAAAATACCAGACACTCTATTCGATTTTCTAGTGCTTTTAAGAGCTCGGAATATTTGACAACTATTTTTAATGTAAACCAAAACTTTTCTGTCCATTTTAGGACACCCAACAGTTTTGAAAGGATGACTTAAAAATATATATATTCTTTTTTTGCCACCACCACCATTTCACTAATTTGAATACACTGGTCTGTGTATTTCCTAACAGATCGAACAATCAGGCCTTGAAGGTGGCAGGAGTGACTCTGCTGGCTGGCATACTGATCGCAGGTCAGGCCTTCACCGCCTACATGGCCTACAGCCAGAAGGAGCAGCTCAACACCCTGGAGAGACGCAGCGACCGCCTGCAGGAGATCAGCCGCAAGTCTGGTCAGTGAGCTTCATGGCTTAACATCCACTGTAATATTTTTATTTTATGGGCTTCTCATCATGCTACCTTTTAAATCACCCTTAACCCATTACCACAGATGTCCTCTAATGAAAGCATAATAATACAGACTTTCTTCCCTTTTTTTTGTGCAGTCATGCGTGCCCCCTTGCAAATGCATCTCCCCATGAGCTCTCTCGCTCTGACATATGAGGAGGCGCCCAAGGAGAAGAAGGTAAGTTGTCCTCTTGAATGTGTTTTAATGTGGGCTGGCGGCCACTTGATGTCAGGATTGAGTTAGAAAACGAAATCAAGTTTTAAAGCAGTGTTTCTCAAATGATTTTGCTTTAGAAATGATGAATCATCAACAGGAAGCGATAAATGAACATATAAAAGTATAGAATATATAAATCCTGCCATCTACAGCTTTCTCATCTCATTCATGCTTTTTTTTGTCATTATGCTCTGTTTTTCAGGATTCCTCTTCCTCAACTCCTAAACCAGGTATCGAGATCTTGCCATTTTGAATCAAAGTAGCAGTTTGATGTCCTTTGCTCACACATATATGTATTTTCTGTCCCACAGAGCTCACCCAGTGCCAGAAGGAGGCTTCTGGGGAGGTCAAGAGTCTCCTGCCATCCTTCCGCCCCAGGTGTGATGAGAATGGAGACTATCTGGCCCAGCAGTGCTGGGACAAGACTGACTGGTGCTGGTGTGTGGACAAGAACGGCGTTGAGATTCATGATTCCCTGACTAACACCAGTGATACTAAGTGTCAGGGCTTCAATTCCGGTATGAGCTGAATATCTGTGTTGCCATGGGAGCTGAATTATTCTGTGGCATACATGACCTACTCACATTAATTATATTAATATCTTCAAAAAGAAATAAAATACAGTTTTCCTTTTATGTGTCACATAATTTAAAGCAACTGTATGTACGTTTTTTTTAAATATCCGTTTCAAAACCATTCTGATGGTACAGTGACTGGCTTCTGTTTCTTTCCCACATTCCTCAAACGTTTTTTTTTCTGTAAATATGTAAGTTTGGAGAGCAGGTACGAAATTCTGCAAAAAAGGGCAGGTTTCTTTACAGCAGCAACAAATACATGTGAAATGCTATTCACAATTACGACAGCATATTCACTTGCATATTGTTTTCATTTAGCAGTTTCATATTTAAAATGTAGTCAGTGGTGTTATGTGATATGTAACTCTAATATAAATCATTCTTCGCTGTTCCTTATTTTAGCTGATAAAGTGGTGTTGGAGCCTCTGGTTGGGACAGATGGCCAGTGAAAAGGAGCAGCGTGGAGCAGTTAAAGCATAAATGTCATTTTCTGGCATCTTTACCTTTAACACTTGTACTTTCACATTTACTTTAGATTTATGGTTTGGTTTGAGGTAAACGTCTTCATTCAGTCTATTAAGATATTTTGCTGTCACAATCTAAAAGTTAATTGTTTTGTATTGTACTGGTAATTATTACAGACTATATTAGATTAACTTCAGCTGTGTTGACCTTTTATGAAAAGCTTTGACTTGATGGCAAACTAACTTTTTTAACTAACCTTTAATGTTCTTTTATTGTGAGTATAAAATGGATTAAGAGAGCTAAGTAATATATAGAAGGATAGCTGAAATTGGATGATGGATAGCTAACAAAGATGGACAATAAAATTAATTACTAACTACTTGTGTGCTCTGTGTCTGATTTAGACAAATTCCTGTAACTTTAAGTTGTATGGCAAAGTCTAAAGGCTGATGTTTTTTTGCATGGCCCCAAAGATGCTTTGCAAATATTTTAGGATTTTAAAATTTACCTTTGTAATTAAGGCTAGAACACGCATAGAGATATTACAAAAATAATGGACCTTTATGTACAACTGAAAAGAGATAACAAACCAGCAGAGCTGTGGGAAAGAGCATAAAGTGCGAAAGACACTAACCAAATACAGTCTGAGTGATCACTGTCTGGCTATAGAGAGAAGAGATGGCAGCCGCCAGAGCAGAGACCGTGTTCACTGTGCTCTCAGAGAGCTGTGGAAACTGAAGAACACTTCCTGCTGCACTGTGATCACTATCAGAACATTCCATCTACTTCCCAAAATTTCACCTAATTTTATGGCTCTACCAAATCCAGAAAAATTAAGACATACATCGGGAGAAAACTCCAGCTTGATCACAGCATCAAAAGCTGTAACAGCTTGCCACAAACTAAGAGTCAGCCAGCGGACAAAACTAAAGTCTGAAATATTATCACATTCTTAATGTCTCAGAATGTATTTTTTTTTTTGTCTTGATCACTTTATTTCTTGTTTATAAAACATGTATCCATTTATTTACTTATTTTATTAATTGCTCATGTAATGGCCAATGCTTTGGCAATACTGCACAAGTGTAAGTGTGTGTGTGTGAGAGAGGGAGTTCTGATGGCATAAGAGGGGTGCATATGGGATTTTATCTTACTAAAATGACATTGATTTGTATATCATGGTCTGACATTCCAAAACATGTTTAAGGATTTGTCTCTTTATTTTTTCCAATTAAAAATAATTGACCATACATTTTCTTGACCCAATTTAAGGTTTTGTTCATTAAAATACATTTTCAAAAATTCTTGTAAAAACATATGCAATGTATGTAAAAGAATCTATCCAAAAATCTATCACACATTATGGCAAAAATGTGAGTAAAAAAACTTTACTCACATAAAGCAAAGGAAAATAATTCCTATTATTCAAAAGTTTTCTTTTGAAATAATTCTTTACACAGAAAAGGTATGCATTATGATACGGATTACACTTTAAAACCACACCACTGAATTCAATACTCCATCTGAAAACCAACTGCATGAAAATCAGCTCTCATCCTCTAACTGGACTGCTTCCTGTTTTCTATTTCACTTCCAAAATGCTGACTTTCATTAATATTTAATACAAGCAGAAGTGGAAGAGTTGAGTGTGGTAAAGTGCAACATTTATTTATCCAACAAATGTATAAAAGGCTTCAGCTACTCAAGTCCAGCAATCTGACATTTGACAGGTACAGGATATGTAAAAGAATCTATCCAAAAATCTATCACACATTATGGCAAAAATGTGAGTAAAAAAACTTTACTCACATAAAGCAAAGGAAAATAATTCCTATTATTCAAAAGTTTTCTTTTGAAATAATTCTTTACACAGAAAAGGTATGCATTATGATACGGATTACACTTTAAAACCACACCACTGAATTCAATACTCCATCTGAAAACCAACTGCATGAAAATCAGCTCTCATCCTCTAACTGGACTGCTTCCTGTTTTCTATTTCACTTCTAAAATGCTGACTTTCATTAATATTTAATACAAGCAGAAGTGGAAGAGTTGAGTGTGGTAAAATGCAACATTTATTTATCCAACAAATGTATAAAAGGCTTCAGCTACTCAAGTCCAGCAATCTGACATTTGACAGGTACAGGAATTGTTCAATGGCAGACATTATTTACAGAGTGTGTTGTGCCTGATTGTTAACCTGTTTTAGTGCAAACCTCTATTTAAAAGAAAAAAAAAACAGTTATTGGAAAAAATACATATATTTATGTAACAGACAGAACATTAACACTTGAAGCATATTAAGGACTGACAAAGCTTTGGCCATCTGTACCATCATAAGGAATTTAGGTATAGAGTCTTTCAAAAAAGAAGCTGCTGTAACAGCACAGACCTACCCCATTTTAAATAGAAAACTATATAAAACTGCTAACCTGAGAAGCTCAATTATTTTAGACACCAAAGTATCATCTAAATACATCCAGTTATTCTATGTGGTCTGATGAGTGGCACCTTTGGATGAGGCACCATTTCTGATTGTATCATTTTGGCTCCCTCTATCTCTTCTTGAATGAGCTGAAGTAGTTTTTTATGGACTGCTCAACATTAGGCACTTGATAGCTCTGAGCAGCATAGATGCCTGTGCATGTTCCTACAAGAACTCCCAGGATTGCAGAGGAGCGGAGCTTTGCCACCACATACCCAGCCAAAAAGCCCTTGAGGAAGGGAGAACTGAGCACACTTCCACCCTAAATTGAGGAAGAGGGCAAAAAACTTAACAATGCAGATTAATTTTCACAGCCTTCTTTGATCATATTTACCAAGGGTGCCGATATTTTTGGCCATGACTGTAGAAGGCTTTTAGAGTGCAACAGTTCTGGAACTAAAATCCCATTCATTTTCTCCATAGGGTTAAAGATTACTAATAAACCCTTAAAGACAGACCTACTGTGAGCTCCAAGGTTGTTAATCAACTGAATATACTTTGTTGAAGCAGTCAGTCCACATTGTTTCAACTTAAAATAATAAAACAGCGGAAGTCCTGGAGGAAAAGTACATTACACATGATTCTACAAAGCAATTTCCAGTAATCAGAGAGACGTCACTAAGTATTGGGATTGTAGTTCTTTCCTTCACCCAAGCTGTATACACAGTCTTGCAGTCATTTTGTCTGATTTTCAAATACTTTTTTGCTTCAAATCAAAGTTTGTAGTGTTGTGAATCACCTCAGAAATGGTTAGTTAATGGCTTTTTGATAAAGACTTTTTAAATCCCTATGGGAAGAAAGAATAGAAAAAAATACTTCTGGAAACAAGGCTACTGAAAAACTTGACTGGCATCCTATCTTTGCGTACCGCTTCGTATCCTTGAACCACAAAGCTTAAATTAGGCTTTAACCACGATTCTTGTACACATATTATTTGAGGTTTAACCTTAAAAGGCACACCAACCTTGTCAGCCACGTCTGCTTGTGTGGGATCTGAGATCCTGAGCTCGATTGAGCAACCTGAAACACATGTCCACTCCAGATCGCGCTCTAATTTTGATTACATGGGTCTGTCTCATGCTCGACGATTTGTACATAAAGAAATACAAATTAATATGTACATAATATAATATAATATAATTGTTTTATTATAGTATAATGTACAAAATACGTTAAAAAAAGACAATTTGTGTTGTGCAAGACAAATCTCCACAGTAACCAAAATTCTTTTAAAATTAACTTTAACTTTAACTATTAACTTTTAATATATGCTATAGGAACCCTTGTGAAAAATGAATACAGTTTAGCATACTTTTAAAAAATTAAGTGCGGACACTGAATTATTAGTTGAATGACTTATGAATTAAATTAACTGGATTATAAATTAAATGAAAATGTATAATTTTTTACAATTTTATATTCATTTTATAACATATTATTTCATTACAAACATTAAAGGTACACTAAAATGGCTATTTTAATCTCATATATATTAAAACTTGTATGTCACGTATTTAAATATATTTTCATGTGTAACATTTGTAATGATGAAGTTGCAATTCAGTATATTTGAAATATATTAACTTTAAATGGAATATCAAATAACACAATAGTTACAACTGTATTTAAATACGTTATATGTGCTTTAGTATGTTGGTCAACACATCAAAATACATGTGTTGTGACAAAAGACAAGGCCTATTAAAACATCATAATTTAATGTGTACTTTAAAATACTAAAAGGGTTAATTTGATCATATTAGATATAAGATGATAACACTTAAAAAAAAAAAAAACGTAGGTTACTTACGTGTGTTAAAAACTTAGCCATATTCTCCCCAAGTACACTTAAGTGGCCTTTTATTCCGTTAATATACTTTTAAGAATTATAGTAGCCTACACAATAAGTGCACATTCAAAACAATTTCACAAGGTTAACATTTACTTTCACAAGGGAACTGAGACTTATGCTTCATTTTATAGTAGCATGTTTCAACAGCGATTTTCATAAACCTACATACCGCAGTAAAGATAGTTTAGATTGCTTTTGGCTATAAATACGCAGCGAGCTGTCATAGACATGCAAATAATACCGAATATCATTCTCCATGATTCGTGAATTCAGGTGACGCTGTCCTTCGGGCCGAAATCAGGTTTTTTTTTCATAGCGACTCTTAATTTTATAATGCCTAGAGAAATGAAACCGGTGTCATATTCACCAGCTTGATCTGTGAATTTTTTCACAGCAAAGCTCTTGTCCGTAAACGCCTTGGTAAGTCCGCTAGTAAGGAATGTGAAAGAAAGGCGTTCTTCATGTTTAACGTCTATTACCAATAAACACGCAGACTACTGGAATACAAAAACATTGTTTTAGGTCGAGCTCGATTTGTGAAAACTTCCACAATCGCATTTTATCGCGTGGCAGTGTTTATCTTTGCTCTTCCCCCCGTTTTTTTGTAGCCTATAATAATGTCATTCGGTGCTGTTCCTGTGAATAACGGTTTCCAAGTCATTAGGTAAATGAGCACATACACATTTACAATTGTACACTTTGTTTGACAATAAAGTTTTGGTTGTTGTACCTTTCCTTGAGTACTTGGCTTCAATATTCTGATTTGCAAAAGTTTCACAGTATAGCTTTTGTCAGTTAACCCTTTCTTGATCCCTTAACTTAACTATTCTGATCTGAAAAATTTCACAGTGCAGTGTTGGTCAGTTAACTCTTCCCTGATTCATTTACATCACTATTTTGATTAGTGAAAACGTTCACAGTGCAGTTATGGTCAGATAACGGTTCAGTCAGTAACATCACCATTCTTATCTGTGAAAAATGTCATAGTTCACTACGAGTCAGCCGACCCTTCCCTGAGTCACTAACATCACTATTTTGA